TGTATGTCCAGCGAGAATGGAGCTGTTCCAAGCTAGCGTGTTCTGCAGCTACCCTGATGTCAGAGTAACTGGATGGCTCAGGTGACATGCTGTGGCCACTGAACCCGAGCAGCGCCCGGGTACTATGCATTCAATTCCTGCCCTCAGTAGCTTTTTGAGAACATGTGTTTTTCACTTTAATTATTCTCGCATTCTGAAGGAGCTCCTTTTTGGAAGGCTTGCTCTCAGGGAAAAGCTGCTAGTTTGAGCCACCATCTCAAAGTGCTCTAAAATCCATATGCATAGTCCAGTTGTGCTGAAAATTAATGTCATCAGGACCAGAGCCACAGTTAGTAGTGCAAGTTGGGAGTCATTTGATCTAGAGGTTCCTTGGATACAGCCCTCTAGTAAGGAGTTGATTTTTAATTTTTCAATTGCTCTAAAACCCACGTGCATGGAAATGCTGTAAGAGGGACTGAGGTTAAAGTTTATAGTGGAAATTTAGGGACATTTGGTCAAAAGCTTCGTGATATACAGGCCCGCCTAAAATGAGCAGGCTGTAACTTTTTTTTCCAGATTTGTGCAACTTTTTTAATGTAAAGCTAAGGCGAATCTAAGGCTTTGACCTTCATGAAACAGCAGGGACTGCTCCTGAGATCAGCTGTTCAATGGTACCAAGGACAAGTTTAGAAATAGTTCAAAGTTTACAGCACTCAAAGTTTTAGCATCTCTGGTTACAGAAAGTTTATACCTGTAAGAGCAACTGTTTCCTTAAACATGTTGGTGAACGACACTCAGAGTAACATACTGCCATGGTGGTTTAAAGTAACCAGATTTGCACTTTCAACAAAAGGGCAATAAATTCAAATCCTTTCCCATGGAATTTTGCATTTTGTGCACATTAGTGTTGTCAACCTGCCTTTTGCTCGATGGCTGGAGCCACAATGGGAATCAGTGTAACAGTTTATATACTAGCTAACATATAATGGTAAACCTGAAATAAGACGGAAGCTGTAGCTGTATGAAAATCATTGTTGTTCTGTTAGTGGGGAGGGGGAGCGCATGGTATTTTATTTTGACTTGTGCATCATCAACCAAATTAAAGGTTTCAGAGAACAGCCATGTTAGTCTGTATTCGCAAAAAGAAAGGAGTACTTGTGGCACCTTAGAGACTAACCAATTTATTTGAGCATGAGCTTTCGTGACTACAGCTCACTTCATCAGATGTTGAACATCTGATGAAGTGACTGTACTCACAAACTCATGCTCAAATAAATTGGTTAGTCTCTAAGGTGCCACAATACTCCTTTCTTTAACCAAATTAAAGTAAGTTCCAGCTACCTAGTTTGAGTCACAGCTGAGTGTGCCAAATTCAGGGTAGACATAACCCAAAACTGGTGGTTTATTCTATGATTAGAGATCACCAAGCCAGTAAGAAAAGTGAGCTCTTGTATCACTACACTAGTTCAGAGAGCCACACAACAGTCCCCTAGGCCCTCCAGCCCTTGGTTATTACAATTGGACTTAGGGATGAAAGGTTGTTAAACCAAAACCACCACATTTAAAGTTTTCCCCGTTCCAAAGAACCAGCCACACACCCCAGGTCAATATATAGGTCAGATCTTACCCAAAAACTATGCTTGTAGCCAATCCTTTAGTAACTCAAAACTAAAGGTTTATTAATGTAAAAAAGGAAGAGTTATTAAACAGTTAAAATGAATCTTTTTTCTTTCTGAGCCTCCTTCCCCCTCCCCCCGCCCCCCCAACATGCTATAAAAACTCCATGGCCCACTTGTGCCACAATAACTGGTCTTCGGCATATAAAAGCCAGGGCTGGCGTTAGTGGTTAGCAAGCAGGGCAGTTGCCTGGGGCCCATGCAGCAATGTTACTCAGGCTTCAGCCCAGCTGATGGGACTCAGGACCCTAGGCTTCAGCCCCATGCAGTGGGGCTACGGTGTTCTGCCCTGGGTCCCAGTGAGTCTAATACTGGCCCTGCTTGGAGGCCCCCCTGAAACGTGCTCGAGGCCCCTTATGGGGGCCCTGGACCGCTGGTTGAAAACTACTGTTATACATTACAGTTGATTTCAGAGTTTGTAAATCAAGATATTAGCAGTGATGTTAAATCTGTCAGTTTGCATTAAGTCTCTCTGGATCACTTAAAAGGATTGGGGTTCATCAGTCCTTTTATTCAAAGCTTCCCTTGCTTAGAAATCATAGCCCAGATATGTGGAGCAGGAATGAAGACCAAGATTGATGTCATAGGGCCTTGCTGAGTCATGAGGCATTCATTGCCTAGGTGCTGCCTTAAGGGATCTCAGAAGGGGTCTCTAGAAGAGCTGATTCTCCTTAATGGGCCATCAAGCAGGCTGGCTAGCCTTGATGTAAATCTGTCTAGGGGGTGTTACCCAGAAACACAACAGGTTTGAGATACAGACACACAGCTAAGTTTCATAACTTCATATACAACGATGATACATGCATACAAACAGGATAATCGTACTTAGCAGACTATAACTTTTCCAATGATACCTTACATGACACATTACAGACTAACACAGCTGTTACTCTGAATTCGCAAAAAGAAAAGGAGTACTTGTGGCACCTTAGAGACTAACCAATTTATTTGAGCATGAGCTTTCGTGAGCTACAGCTCACTTCATCTCTAAGGTGCCACAAGTACTCCTTTTCTTTTTACATGACACAGGTACAAGATTTATCACAATTGCGCAACAGGGGTCAGACATGGTCACCTTTCTTTTATACAGCATCACACCAACTGTAGAGTCTTCGTTGATAAGAGATCCAGAAAGAACCTAGCTCAGTGTTTAAATTCAAAATTGACTTTGCAGAGCTGGTGGTTTAATTTAAAAAGTAATCTAAGCAGATATGACCTGGAAATCATTGAAGTGATAAAGCTAGAACTCCAGACCCTTTCTAGTGATACTTGACAGAAAACAGTACTCCAGCTTCACATTGTCTGAAATTATTAACAGAACACATTTTCATTTGACATTTCAGTTCACTCAATCAGAGATTGGCTCATGTAATTATCAAGAACTTTGGTGTCTGATTTGGAAAAATTCTTATTTTTATAGGGCATTCTGCTTCAGCTGTTTGGGGGATCAAGAAAAGATTTCAGTCATACCGGAAGAGGAAATTTTCGTGCTGAGATCAACATTCTTCTGTGTGGTGATCCTGGCACAAGTAAATCACAGCTGCTTCAGTATGTCTATAACCTGGTTCCTAGAGGCCAGTACACATCTGGGAAGGGCTCTAGCGCAGTTGGCCTCACTGCATATGTAATGAAGGACCCAGAGACAAGGCAGCTAGTTCTGCAGACAGGTGCTCTGGTTCTCAGTGATAATGGCATTTGCTGCATTGATGAATTTGATAAAATGAATGAAAGCACAAGATCAGTACTGCATGAAGTAATGGAACAACAGACTCTTTCTATTGCCAAGGTAAGACCCTAGCTCAGCATTGTACCCAGGTTAATATCTGTTAGATGATTAAATGAGATAATTTAAAAGGTAACATAGAAATTGGAGATAAGACTATTGACAGAACTGGGTCACTTAAAACCTCAGAGTTAAATTACAGTATAGATGTTGGAGCTGTATTTCAGTGACAACATTCAGCATGGCTGCACACTGCATGTAATACCCCTTCCAGATAACCTTGTTCCATTTTGTACCCAAGCTTTTGTAATGAGGTTTTCTCTTGATTTAGAGAACCCTTTTTATAAAGCATTTTTGGTGAACCCAGCAAGAGTTAATTCTTTAAAGTCTTTCTTGTTAGAAGAAGCAAGTCTTGGGGCTCTTAACATAGCTGCTGGAATCTTCCTTCCGCTAGGAAAGGTTGTTTGCTCTCAAATGTGTTTCCTTTTGACAGGCTGGAATTATTTGCCAACTGAATGCTCGCACCTCTGTCCTAGCAGCCGCTAACCCTATAGAGTCGCAGTGGAATCCAAAGAAAACTACTATTGAAAACATCCAACTTCCTCATACATTGTTATCCAGGTATTACAATTAGACTTATGTTTCCATGATGCATGCTTGCTTGGTTTTTTACAAAACAACTTTCTACCCCTCTCTGTGTGTGGGTGTGTATATATATATAGTGTGTGCAGGAACATGTTGATTAGGGGTGACATTTGCAATGTAGAAAGGGAAAGGTTTTTTTCTAAATTTACTTTAAAAGTAATGTTGTTAACTAATACTCTAGCAGAGGACTGTAAATGGCTGACCAGTTTCTAGCATATAGTGCTTGGTATTGAATAATGGGATTCGGCAGTGTCTCTAAGGTTTTGTTGTGTCCATTGTTCTGTTTGCTTCAAGATTTTGTCACTGTGCAGGCACTGGCATTTTCAAATCTCGAGTATTTTACATTTAGTTCTAAGGACATGTATCTACTCTGGAGGTGGAGTGTAATTTCCAGCTCAAGTAGATATACCTGCTGTAATGGTCATCAAGCCACAGTGCTAAAAATAGAAGTGTAGCCACATCAGTGCAAGCAGTGGGACAGGATAGGTGCTCCAGGCATGATCCCATCTGAAACTCTTCAGTGCGTACACAGGCAGCTAGCCAGTTCTGCCAGGGCAGCAACACTTCCTTTTTTTAATCGCACTAACTCAGAGCTAACCTGGGTATGTCTACCCAAGCTGGAAGTTACACCTCAGCTCCAGTGTAGACATACCCTCAGTTGCCTTTTCTTCCTGTCAAGCTGTGTTAGTAGCTGGAGTAAGTGTTTCATGAACAATGATAGAGGCATTATATCTTCAGAAGAGCATAAAAATGAGTCTTTCAGCCATTGCATGCTTTACAAATTAGGAAGCCAAATATAGTATACAAGTGTATGGTTTGTATTCTTATGTCAAGTGTCACCCTATTTTCTGTTTTTTATAGGCCTGAGCTTATTGATGATAAATTAAGATTTTTAACCTCTCAAAATATGTACCATACCTCATACCATGAGGCACCTAGAACTCTTTTAGGCAGTGTAGAAAATAAGTAACTATGGATGATTATGACCATCTAATTCCATTGATTTAATAAACTGCTGGTAGTTGTCATCTTTTGAAATCTGACTAAAAGTATGCCCAGCACATCCTTCTCAGAATACAGTTGCACCCAGGAATTATTCAATACATTAAGTAGACAAACTTCAAATACATTCCCCCTCAAGATCAAACTGGAAGCATATGTAGACTCCATCACCTCATCAGACAGAAGCTTCAATAAATGGAAGTTTACACGATGCGTGGAAGGTTCCAGCCTTCAGATGTTCTTCGGTGAATGATGGGAGAAAATTCCATAGTTGGAAGCCTTCTGGAAACATCTTGCCTTCAAATACTCAGCTCTGTCGACTGAAAGCAAAATCACATTTTTACCGTCTTTTTTACTTCCTGAGAGTATCCAGTACTCGTGATGTAACAAATAAAATGTCAGATTTTAGATTGCAGACAGCTTCCACTTGGTTGATCAAAATCATGAAACCAAGTAGTGTAAATGGTGGAAAAAGTTTATGCACTAAGTATTGAAACTTTATTCCATGCAGATTTGATCTGATCTTTCTAATGTTGGACCCGCGTGATGAAGCATACGACAGACGTCTTGCTCACCACTTGGTTGCACTGTACTACCAAAGTGAAGAGCAGGTGGAAGAAGAGTACATGGACATGGCAGTATTGAGGGATTACATTGCATATGCTCGTAGCTATGTTAATCCTAGACTAAGTGAAGAAGCAAGTCAGGCCCTTATTGAGGTAAAAAGTTGTGGATGTGAAATTTAAAGTACATGATTTAAAAAGGGGGGGGGGGGGGAACCTTCCTGTGGGATAAGATGTACCAGAACTGTGTACACCGGTTTCCTTTATTAGGCTCTTGAAATCTTTTTAAAATCTATATTCTGTATTTACTATTCTCCTTCCTTTTAATCCTGCATAGAAGTCATTCTGTGCAAACCAGTCTGTCCCTGAGCAGGTTTCCCATACTCGTACAGAACCATCACATAATTTCAGTAGAACTTGAACTTTCTCATGCTTTTTTATAGATATACCTGTACAGATAGTAGTGATAGGCTTTAGCATTCCACATATTCTTCTGTGCTTTGAGACCAGATTTAACATTAATAACTGTCTCAGTTTCATGGTAACTGCAACTGTATTTCCCCCTCCATGATTCACTCTGGAAATGTCCAGTCAAGTCTCCAGCCATCACCTGTCTCCGGATAGGGACCCTTCTGACAGGGGATATTAAGGCTGCACAGCTCCCTGCCATCCACTGTGATCCCCAAAGATACTGTGTAAGGTTGCAGGAATAATCTGCCCAGTTTATTATGGCTTTGTTCCAGGATCAAGCACAAGGAGAGACATACTAGCTGTGGTAGATGTCAGTCATGGCAAGGGAAATAGTGAAGATGTATATGGCACTTATGTTTAAGGGGCTACATGCTATTTGGATTTTCCCCCCCCCCCCAGGCTGATAATCCTCTGAAAGGAGGAGTCTGGATACATCCTACATAGTACATCTGTGAATTACTCATACATAAAACATTCCCCCCCTTCCTTCTCCTTCAGGCTTATGTGGACATGAGAAAGATTGGCAGTGGTAGAGGAATGGTTTCTGCATATCCCAGACAGCTTGAGTCTTTGATCCGTCTGGCAGAAGCTCATGCTAAAGTACGTTTTTCTGACAAGGTTGAAACAATTGATGTCGAAGAAGCAAAACGACTCCATCGGGAAGCTCTGAAACAGTCTGCTACTGATCCAAGAACTGGCATTGTGGACATATCCATTCTCACTACAGGTTTGTGCTCGCATAAGGATAAATTAGTATCTAATGGGTCTGGCTTTAGAAAACTATATATGCTATTTCAGTTTGGTGATATCCTCAGTGATTGGTTTGTGGATTTGTAAATGCTTCAGATTGGACATTGAGCAATCCAGGTAATAAATGTCAAACCTGGATGTAATTTCAAAGTCAGTATATTCATTTTACAATGAAATCTGATTTTGAATTGAAACAATGTTTGAAATCTGCAAAACTTTCCCCAAACATGGCTAATACCTGAAGTGAACAGTTGATACAGCAGCCTATATTGTTAGCCCTCTTTCAGCTACAAAGAATTCAGTTCCTAATGTTGACATTGTCATATTTAAAGCAGAAATAACAGTCAACATTATATCCTTTGTAACTTTTTCTGTACTTTTTTCCAAGGGATAAGTGCCACGGCCCGTAAACGTAAGGAGGAGCTGGCTCAAGCCTTGAAGAAGCTTATCCAGTCAAAGGGCAAAACACCAGCTCTAAAATACCAACAGCTTTTTGATGATCTCCGTGCACAGTCTGACGCAGTAAGTTTCTGCTTTCTTTGTATACTACTCTGAGTTAAAAAAAAGTTTCCATCTCCTGGGGGGATCTTCTGTGTACTCAGCATGGTCCTCAGTACCGATTATAGTTGTATCTCAGTGGACTAGGAAAACTAAATGGAAATCTCGAGTAACAGTGGAGAGGTTATTTTACCTCTGTATTTGGCACTCGTGTAACTGCTGCTGGAATACTTGTCCAGTTCTGGTGCCCACAGTTCAAGAAGGATGTTGATAAATGAAAGGGGGTTCAGAGAGAACCCCTAAAAATGATTAAAGGATTCGAAAACATGCCTTAAAGTGATACTCAGAGTTCAGTCTATGTAGCTTAACAAAGAGAAGGCTAAGGGGTAAGTTGACTGTAGTCTAAGTATCTACTTGGGGAATAAATATTAAGCATGGGCTCTTCAATCTCTCAGAGAAAGATATAATACGATCTAATGGAAGTTGAACAATTTTTAAATCAAGGTTGGATGTTTTTCTAAAAGATACGCTCTAGAAATTGTACGTATGCCGTTTGTTATACAGGTAATCAGTGTTTACAGTGGACCCTTCTGGCCTTGGAATCTATGAATCTATTTACTTGCTGTCCACCTGACACATCAGCAGGCATAAGATTAGCTTGCTAGTCAGTTGGTCATTAGGTGTTCCTGATTAACTAGCTTAATTCTGGTTTGTTAGTGTTTCTTTCATAGACATAAGTTCCATCTGTGGAATAGAAGAGATCTTGACTATTTACATCCTTGTCTGGCTGACAAAAAAAAAGCTGATTATTCTTGTCAGCTATAGGTGTCTATTCTGGTTTGCACATCAACAAAATGATTGCAGAATCTCTTATTACCACTGAGGATGCACAAGCCAGAAAGAACCCACTTTAACTGTTGCATTCCAGGATGAATTTTACAGCTTGAAAAGACAAAACTTTTACCTAAAACCTGGCAAACTTGACATGGAAGTTGGTGAGACAAGCAGAATCCCATGATTTTTCTTTGGGGCTTTGTAACATAGCCTTTTGTATATTTTCTCAAACATTTCTCTTTTCTTTAAGGCTGTCACTAAAGAAATGTTTGAAGAAGCACTTCGTGCCTTGGCTGATGATGACTTCTTGACTGTTACTGGAAAGACGGTTAGGTTGCTGTAATGAAATGATAACTTAACAGCAGAGTTTTACTGTTTTTTTCAAGTACTTCCCTTGAGATCTGCATCACGTTTAAGAATATTATTCTCCGTGGCAAAACTCATGATGGTGACCTGTTGAACACCACTGTCAGCACTGTAAATAACTAGATTCTCTGAAGGACTGCAAAAAGCTGCAATTGAACAGCGATATTTGTTTGGATAAAATGGGTTACTTATATTTCAGTGCGATGTGTATTTTCAGTCAAGTGCTTGGTAGAACAAGCTTACAAATTTTATGTATTTTAAAGCCCAAATGTCAAAATTTATCTTGAACCACTGCTTTTTGACATAATATGCACTGATTTAAGTTGCATTTATGCTTTAATATTTTTACTACAGCGAGATTAGTGCTTGTGACTTTTCGAAATTAAAATCCATTGGCATTATAATTTTTCCTTTGTATGCATTACAAAAAATTAAGCTAAATCTTGAACACTTCAGCAGCCTTCATTTTGTTTTCCAGGAGTTTAAAAGAACAAAGTAACCATTTTTCCTTTTCCCTCAGATTACTGCTCTCTCTTCCTCCCATCAGTGTTTAATTGCTGTTAAGATGTCTTTCTGCTTTGAACTTTTACCATAACAAGCTACAATGAAGTCCAAGTTTCACATTAGGTCATTTTCCTATAGTAACCCCTATTACTGTAAGATTTATAAATTCATAAAACATAATTCAGACTGTCTCTCCGGTCATTTTCTCTCGTCCATTGCAGTGGGAATTTAAATCAGAGGATGCAGCATGTAGGCATAACACTAATATTACAGACATTTTATAGATGTGGAAAAGTGGCCTTTAGCTATTTAATTATACTCATCTGCTCTCAGAGCACAAGGTCAGTTCTCACACTGTTTCAGATTATGCACAGCTTCCCTACATGTAAGTGAGATCAAGAGTATTTGAACATGACGACAAAAAAGTTTCTCTAGAAAACTGAAAACAAGCTAAAGATGAATAAAGTTCAATACATTAGAAACTGATCATTTAATCCTACTGTATTGAATTAGTCAACATTCAGTACAGTAAAAAAAGTAAGCAAAGTATTCAAGTGTTCTGCAGTACTAAGTTATTGGAAAGGGGGTAAATAGCAAGGAGGACAGAACTTGTAAATGACAACTGTTAGTCAGCAGTAGCACTTAAGCTAGGCACACAAAAACTAATGCTGATATATGCCTGGGAATGTATGTTAGAAGGAATAATGTGAAATATTTATACAGGCTGCTGGGTTCTAAATTAAATCACTAAGAAGGAAGTTGTGGGTGTCTTTAGTTCAGTGAAAAATTCTGGTCTCTGTGGAGCAGCAGTCAAACTGAACAAGGGGGTAGGCTGCATAAGGAATGGAATAGAAAATACTACCAAAAATGGCAATTCCTTGAAGTCATGGTACACCACATTTGGAATACTGAGTTCAGTTCTGGTTCACCCTGACAAATAATACAGCATACCTAGAGAGGATTCAGAAATGAGTGTTACTAACTTAGAGTACATTATGGCAGAGGCTAAGAGCTTACTAGGATAAGACACTAATAGGAATAAAAGATTTTAAAAGAGGCGGGGGGGCGCCTAAAGCCCTTAAACTTTATTCTTCAGACCACAAACCAACCTGTGATTCATAAGTGTTAGGAAGAAACATTGATTATTTCAAGTTGTCCATAACATGTTTTCTTGCTTTTTTCCTTTAAGCATCTGGTACTGATCTTGATCAGAGAGGATGTAGAACTAAAATTGATGACTGTCCAATTGCAATTCGTTAGGTACACAATAATTGGTGACACCCTTACATGTGAACACAAACAGATGGGTGAGAATTTCTCAAATCCCACATAAG